TATACGATACGGGTAAACTTATCAATCCTTGAAATAAACTAATTCTAAAAGGTTACAAATTCAACACGGTAATTAGATCTTCTTTGAATATTGTTTTTATTGGTATAAATATTGATTTTGTTATCAGTGAATTAAAATCATACTAATAGTTTTGTTATACACATATGCACTTCAACGGTACTACAATCTGTTGATCCTTTATTTTGGCGACATTGCACAAGGTCATGTTTTTCTGTTAATGACGTCTTTACACTAAATACATTGGATGTTGGATGTGTATTGATTTATATTTTAGTTTTAGATATATGATTTTTCTTTATTAGTTGTTATTGGCTTTGAACTAGCAGTCAGTAACTGCGAGAACTCCCAGATCTGTACTTTTTTGTCCTTTTTGTTGTAAGGGATGAGGGATGGATAAATACCCTGCCACGTCCGGTCTGTGTTTATGTTTGATGTTTTTCTGCTTTGTATCGATCTGATGAGTTAAGCCCTTTTTAACTGACTTTTATAGTTTGTTCTTATGTTGTGCTGTTACAAAACTGTCCCAGGTTAGGGGGAGGGTTGAGCGCTCACAAACATGTTTAACCCCGCCACATTCTGTATGTGCCTGTCCCAAGTCAGGAGCCTGTAGTTCAGTGGTTGTTGTTGGTTTATGTCTGTCATATTTGTTTTTTGTTAATTGTTTTGTTATAAATTAGGCCGTTAGTCTCTATTGAATTGTTTCATATTTTTCATGTCGGGGCCTTTTATAGCCGCATATACGGTATTGGTTTTGCTCATTGTTGAAGGTTGTACGGTTACCTATAATTGCTAACATCCACTTTATTTGAACTTTGGTGGATAGTTGTCTCATTGGCAATCATACCTTATCTCCTTATTTTTTATATTAATCCATGTTAGGAGTTTTTCATTGAAGTGGAATTGAACATGGTTACCTTCAATTTTAAATTTAACGTCTTTGTCTTCCTGAAATTTGTGAGAAACGGAGATAGCTCGTCCAATAAATCAGCTTTTAGATGGACCAATTTAACGTCCAGATATTTTTTGAAGTTCAAAAGTATCTGCCAAATTCCTTGGTTCTGAGTTTTCAAGTTCAGAATTATTAACCTCGCGAGGGGCGGGACTCACGTTTCGATGAACATCTTTTTTGTTCCTTATCCAACAAGTCCAGTATGTCGTCTTCAACATTTATAATAAACTTCAATTGAATACGAGTCGTTCTCAAGGAACCGTATTGCACAATCACAGAAACTCGAAAAACCAATATTATGAAAACATTAAACAGAAATATGTTTTCGCGCGAAATCAAATTCCGTGCTATTAACATAATAATATTTTTTTATCATAAATATACTTTATTGTGGCCATAATTCATCCAATCGACAAACAAATATGATCTTATATCTGTTGAATTGTCCGTACTTTATCAGCCAATCAAAACATCTTAATATACGTACCCACATGTATCATTACATGTAGTAAACAAAAAACACGTGTTCGTCTATCTTTAACAAATTCATGAATTAAGAAACATAAATTACATAAATTTTACCTATTATGTCTGTTTGTTTTGCTAACACTTGTTTGTCAATATAATGGAATTCTATGCGACTGTCATATAAGTGAGAGGTTTAGTTAGCTATAAAACCAGGTTTAATCCACCCTTTTCTACATGAGGAAATGCCTGTATCAAGTCAAGAATATGACAGTTGTTTTCCATTCGTTTGATGTGTTTGGCTTTTGATTTTGCCATTTGATAAAGGTTTTTCCGTTTTGAATTTTTCTTGGAGTTCGGTATTTTTGCTATTTTACTTTTAACATTCAATGTTACAATAAATGCGTCCATCCGACATGTCCTCAATTTACTTGAGCAGTCCTGCTTTATCCTGGTCGATCGACTTTGCAGAGTATAACTATTTATTGTTAATGTGTTTTTGTATCAGTTACACACCCCTGTCTCATATTTTGAGCTAGCAAGCCAGTTACATATAAATAGAAATATGACAAAACCTATTCGGTTGGACAGAGTATATGTTAATGCTCAGAAGGGAGAACATAACATTGAGATATCATACGCCTGGCACTAACAGTCCACCGGCAGAAGTATCGAACCAGCGGTAGTAATACAATTAACTGTACAAATGTTACTGCTGTTATGTAGTACGGTTGAATCCGGTTCGAGGTCGGGCTATTTCAGGTTATTAGGGTGTAAGGTCGGACCCGAATACTGTTTTTGTTTTGAGTTGATGAAAGATGATTGAGAATAAAGATGTTCAGTTTATTTTAGTATTGACTTGTCTTGTTATTCCCCGTCCAAGGCAAGATCATATCACTGCACTAAGTGCGTATTTCAACAATCAATGTCCCTTTTTAACATAACCAATAACTCTTTATACAGATGATATTTACTATAAGATATCATTTAAAACGTTCTCCATATATTAAATGCTTATTTGTTTGATTGTTAGTTGGTGTATAGCTCTCAGCAATGTCATGATGACCAGTTTTTATTGTTAGTGGAAACTGGAGCACCCGGGAAGAACTACCGACCTTACGCATGAAAACTGGCAATTCTTGTCAATGAAGCACTGGTTCATTCATTGACAGACAATTTGTAACTGTTCTGGATCATATGAGTATTTGGACCATACGCGTATGGTCATGAGCGTATTACTTGTATTTACTCATATGGCCCGATCATCTGTACGTTGATGAGTTACCATTCACGGTGTCATAAATTATGAAATTTTGACTTATTTAATCATATGGTAATCATTATTAAATGATTGATGAAATAAAGTGAATTTTACTTACACGTTAAAAATATAGTAAAAGGCCATTATCGATTTTTCCGTACGATATTTAATATGTCGACTTAAACATAACTTCAAGAAATATCAAAATGAACTGTTAAAAAAAGAATTCAACTTGTTTACTCGCAGGCAATTGGGGCATTGAACCTTTCTCTCCTTATTTTGGTGTTTAAGTTTGTTTTTAGTAAAAAAAAAAAAATTCTTTAATATTTTATTGATAGTTATTTATTGTTTTCTTGCTCGTATTCATACGATCTTAGTATACAATAACAGTAGTTTATACGTGATGTCCCTCTTTCATATAGAAACATAAGAATCGCGAGCAGCACGCATAAACTAGTGTTTTAATAAGAGCATGTAAATAGGATCAAGAACACGTTACTTAGTTGTTACAGGATAAGAAAAAATTAGAAGAAAATGAGTCTTAAAAAAACTAATTTAACACCGTGGGAAAAACGAAAAAAAAACAAAAAACTAGGTTAATGCCCAAAACGCCCGTGGTTTCAATTATGGACAATAAAGAAGGCAAGATAACAGATACACCATAAGAATTTATTTTAGAAAATACCTATATGGTCTAAATGCTCATATGATCCGGCCTGTTAATAACCAAACGAGTATATACTCATATGGTCCGACCATATGAGTATACGCATTTAAATGGTCATGACCATACGCGTATGGTCCAAATACTCATACGGTCCGGAGCATAACTGCATGTAATTCCTTTTAATTTTATGCTAATGAGTACTTCAAATTGCAATTACACAGAGACGTGGTTATTTATGTAAAATTCTTTATGACAATCACGAGACTGGTGCGCATGAAATTTTTTTTTGTACATTTTTACAAAATATCACGACAAGCACATGTTAAATATATGAGCATCTGAAACTGATAAATGTAAAGAATTCTAAAAAGCATTAACTACGGTTTAATGAGTTTTGTTTGTTTGAAACATTAATAAACCCGGAATATTGAAAAAGAATAGTTCGCTATTATCAGCCAGTTTGGTTCATAGTTTTCAAAACAAACTCAAAATCATCCCTGATGTATTATGGTTTGCAAATCAAAAGTCAACCTTATTTGAATCTTTATTCATGCGACCTTTAGTTAAGCCAAGAAAGCTAACTTTTGATGGAGATGGGTTGCACATGCGCTCAGCTTGTCCAGTGGTTGAAACGTTTATCATCTGAAAACGCAAAACTAGGTAATGCATGCAGTATGAAGATCGAAATTAGTCTTATACAGGATATAAGTAAATGGTTATATTCAATTTATATGTTTTATCTATGAAATGAGATCAATCAAAATGAAAACAAAAAGAACGTTTACTGTTGTATTTATATATTTCATGTTTACATGTCTGTTTATATTTATAATCATTACGGGTTCACATACCCATCGGCCATTTTCGTGACTCATTTCGATTTTTAATGAGATGACGTCCAGTAAAGAATACACACACACTGATGATAATTCATTACTATTCCAGACTTTGTGTATTGTTTTCTATGGAGCTTTTGTAGTTCTGTATCATGTATATTGCGTTTAAGCATATATTTAATCAAATTTGAGATTTTAAATATATTCTTCAGACATACATTGGTAGCTAGCTTAATTTTTGCATGTAAATACCATTTACAGATACATGTGCTCTTCAATATTCAGTTATAGAAGTTGTTTTCAAAGATTGCTTACATATTTCTCGACAGATAATGGATTTAAGACCATAGGTACGTACACACGAACACAGAAATATTCACAAAACAAAGTTACGCATACAGAACTAACTTTTTATTACTTAGTACCAGTATGATTACCTATATAGATAAACTATTGACGTTAATAAAAAAGGTGAGATTTTACAGAAGTACTTGCTTAAAAAGAGACAAGGTTACAAAAATAACTCGCTGTACCAGAATTTTTAGACTGATATTGCTTTTTACAGAGCAAAGTTCATTTCCAGAAAACTTTCAAATATACTTTTTCCTATACATGGACGAATGATTGCGAGCTGTATTAAAAAAATCTCTACAAAATGTTGTCTTTCAAATGAGTTGCCTCTCATCAATTCGATACGGTACAATAAGAAAGCAATGTCACAAGGTGATATATGATATGTCTGTGTTATCATTCAATAAACATATAAAAACAAATATCGAATTTCTATTGTTAACTTTTAACCTACTGCTAACTACAATTAAAACAGGAAGAGACGGACATTTGAAAGTTCAAAATGCATGGATTTTTTCTGATATTTCAGATATTTTTTGGTATGTACAATTGTACTCATATACCAAGTTACATTTATTATTTGCACAAGAATTTTATTATGAATTTATATTTATATATGATAATTTATTTAATAAGTGTCATTGTTTTACATAATGACCGCTGTCTTTTATACATTTTTTGCCAAAGTCTTTCGTCTGACAACTTTGCATGAACTGGTTGTTAATGTACCTTGTTGTGTCTTTACTGTACAATGCACATGCTTTGGTGCGTTTAGGTATAATAAACATCATTTAATTATGCTACTGCATTTTCCCCATAGACAAATTGCAATAAGGTCTGTTGACGTTACTTGTAGTTTACGTCTGTTCCGAACCGGATGCAAAAAAAATATCAACCCTTATATGTTAATAAGGTCTTAAAGAGGGAAGTAATTAAGCTAAACAAAAACAACAAAAAATATTTTAAGTAAAAATATTGAATAGTCACGAAAACAAGCAAAACTGTCAATTTTGTCTTCTAGTGTTGATATATTATTTCACTGTTAAAAACTGTAGATAGTACATGGAGAAAGAGATAAAAATTAGTACTTGTAGTTGGTAGTAGAAATAAGTGATAAGGCTGAAATATCGCTAATTGCTTGACAACACAGTTATTCTATGACACAATAAACCCAATACGCACATAAGGCATTAGGCATGATCAAAATAGTTCATATATAATTTAACAATGCAAAAATATATATCACATTTCTTTAACTTTTTTCATCGACTAAAGTCCACGAATCTTCAAAAAAAAAAAACTCAACATTGCATACTCCGTCTGTATTATCTGATAGTTCCATCATTGTATTATTGTTATGGAAATATTTGGTAGAATGCATATATTTATTCAGCTCATTTGGTTATTTATGCTGACTTCATACAGGAGCTTCTTAGGAAGAACGAAAATAAGCTAGCATTATCCTTTAACTACACTTTCCGCTATATACTAATAGGTGATGTCCTCTGATTAAATAGTTCAAAGTTTGATTACTATGTTGAACGCATCTATCCTATCGAACTAGAAATAAATGATATAACATATACAGTTAAGTCTGTCTCGTATCGTGACTTACATCTAGAAATTGACAATGAGGGTTGGTTGAGAACAAAACTTTATGACAAAAGAGATGATTATAGCTTTCCAATTGTGAACTTTCTATTTTGTTTGTAGCAATATTCAAGCAGCGCCTGCATATGGAGTATATATCTCCCTGTGGAAAAGATATTCCAGGGATTGCGTTTCCTATCACGATTTTCCTCTACTAACATGAAAGCTATTAAACTAAGGGTTCCATGTGGTGAAGTAAAAATCATCCCTTCGAAAATTTTACGAACGCCATCACGAGGTGGTTGACCGTTATGAAATATCTGTTTCACAGATGACGATGGATATATTCCAATCGTCGTACATGTAACCACAATCCCGCCCTCCTTTCCCCGAATGTGACATATAGAATTAAACTTATCACCAGGTTTGTACGTGAGCAACACGACAGGTGCCACATGCGGATCATGATCTGCTTACCCTTTCGGAGCACCTGAGCTCACCCCTGGTTTTAGTGGGGTTCATGTTCCTCAGTCTTAGTTTTCTATGTTATGTTTTGTATACTGTTGTTTGTCTTTTGGTCTTTTTCTTTTTTTGCCATGGTGTTGTCAGTTTATTTTCGACTTATTAGTTTGAATGTCCCTTTGGTATCTTTCGCCTTTCGTTTAGAGTAAATATGCAGCTAACATTCCCTGAAAAAAAAAACGCTTTTTACGCTTTTTGAATTGTGTGCGTCCACAGCACTATTCTAGAAATGTGAAAACCGTGTATGTATAAATACTTAAGGAGCTATACAACAAAAGAAATCTGAGAAAAATTGACAAAACAGTCGAACGTCGCTTTGACTGAGAAATTTGTAATCTAGAGTTCTTCATTTTATACAATTGTAAATACATCAAAAAGTCAAAATAGCAATGCAGTGGCCACAACAATTTAAACTCACAAATAAACAGAGCACAAACACTTAACCAAGACGATTGCCTTAGATATCTAAATCATATTTTCAAAGAACTGTCAAAAACATTCTGGTCAGTTATTGTTACGGTTCTTAAATTATTTTTTTATACACCTTTTTAATGTTTTTTCTAATAACTTAATGGGTAAAGATTTAATAAAATGAGTAAAATAAAGTCAGAAGTAAAGTTAACAGTCACATTCATACTCGTTATTTGATTACTTTTCCTTGCAAATTAAACAATACAATTGCAATTTGATTTGATGTTTTATAGAACTCAAATAAACTAGTTAAGTTTCTAGAGTTCTGGTGATGAAACGAATTTCACAACAAAATGAAATTAAACAGACAATGTTGTTGGTGAAACAGATTCATTTTAAAATGTAATTACAAAACTTGGTCGTGTGAAACATGAATTGTATTCATCGTTCAGTTTCCATTACACAGATTCGTTACAACTAGTTTAAAACATATAATCATGTTGTAACATACACTGTGATTTAATGAGACATACTTTCATTTAATGACATATGTCAAATCTAACCAGTTGATACAGAAAAATTACCTGCTACCTGTAACCTTCTGCCTTTTAAAAAAAACTCGTTAGTCCAGGTTTTTTTTTTCAGATACAATCTGTTTTTTGAAAACTCTTTTACGATAAAAGTCTATTAAATCAGTTGCTAATATGGTGTAATTCGACATTTGACATATGAAATGTTTAAACAAAATAGTACATGTATGTGACTGGTTTGCACAATCTGTTTCAGAAAGTCATGATCATACTTTGTCTGCCCTTCCGATTTTTAATCATGATTGCTCCCAAGAAGTCATAGTAAATAGTCATTGAAATATCAATCCACATATTCCACCGAGCACCACTTTTACTTCAAAACCACTTAAAAGGATCGATATATTAAACTGTTATTTTTCTCCATTATTGAAGCATATGATAAGAAGATCATGACATGTCATTTTTCATACCAGATGTATTATCAGCCCTCGGTCAATATCAGCCCTCGAGTCTTCGACTCTTCGGATGATTTTGAACTTTGTACTGATAATACATATGATATGAAAAATGCCATGTAATAATCTGATAATAAAACCAGGAGATACGGGCGTTATAACTTATGAATATGTCTGTTTAATGGTCCATCTCGCCTCCACGCGGTTACGTAACACTACTCATTAAACATGTATTAAAGATCCCAAACATTTGTCATAAGCTTATTTGTCGATTTCATAGAGACAAGTGTCTTGACTTGAGTAATCAGTATCAGAAACTGTTTACTATCATTAGGTCCGTACCACTGCTGCATTGATACCATTTCCCCAAGGAATCACCTGATCAGTAACCACGGTTTCAATACTGGTATTAATTCTATCTATGATACATTTAGTTTTGTAAATGTTCTAGTTCTTTAATATATATATTGACGGACTTTAGAAACGCAACAGTAGATTATTCTTTTTAATTCTCAATTTTAAATAATTTATGCAATTCGTGAAAAATAAATGTATAAACATTAATTTCATTCATTACTTCATTGTCTAAAAAAGTTTGCATTTCGAAAGATGAATTGATAACGTCAAGTTTAATATTTAAATACGTGGTATGCACTGAAACCCTGGTTTTTCCCTATCAATGGATGTGTCGCCGTCGAATGAAATGACTGAGTGTAACCAACGCCTAAATGATTGACAGAAATGTCAACTAGGCCCGAGTTGGTGGTGTTACATCTTACATAGTCTTAACCGAATTATTTGCCCTATGCATACGTTATTTCGTGCCAAGTTATCTAACATATATATCTCGATGTGCCCCGTGGTTGTCAATATGTTTATATTGTTTTGGAACGCTTCAGTGTGATTGTCGGGCTAAATTATGACAGTACTTTTTACTTTTTTTTATGATTTCAAATGTATTAGACATATGTATTGATTAAAGGAGCAATGATTGGCAATACTTTTTGTAAGTGTTTCTTTTTTTTTAATTAATAATAATAAAAATCATATTCTGTGATTGGAAAAAAACCATTCTGTTTGAATTCTTTCCATATTTATTTTATTGATATTACTCCATGATTTTGTTCTTCAATTCACAGTTTGTTGTGTGATCGTCAGTTTGCAAAAAAAAAAAAAACCGACTCAAACCGGTGCTAGGGGCCGTCTTAAACTTGCAGTTATAAGATGAGAGTTTTTTTGTTCCGTGTTGGAAGCCTCACTGTGCCTTTGTGATGAAGAACAGAAATAAAGTTCCTTTGCTTTTTGTGTTTTTTGCTGTGCATATACTGAGTTTGTGTCATGGATGAATACCCCATATCCTTTCTTTTCTATTAGTTCTGTTGGGCATGTTTTGAGTTCTGTTTTGTACTTTCTGATTTGTCCTCTGACTCACCCATTACAGTGTATTTTGGCAATAATGCGAGTAAAACTTTAGGGTTTAAAATGTTTTTCTGAAGTCTATACTTTGGCATTTCAGTATATAGAAAAAAAATATGACATAAATCTTTCTGCCGTGGCATTCTACGACTTGATAATCAGTTGACGTTGCGGTCGTAAAGATGTAGTGCAAATGACATTACGTAATCAAATTTTTTTGAAGAGGCATTGTCACAACAGATTGTTATGGGTGGTCATCAACAAATTCCGTCTGCCTGTACCGTTGTTGTAAGGACAGTAAGAAGAGTGTCTGACGAGGAATTGTCTTGCAACAGCATGTTCACGTATTCCTGCCTGCAATATTCTTCTGGCGTGATTCAGATTTTCATTGTTCAGTCTCAGCAATATGGAAATGCAACATTTTTTTTACTTATTTAAGTGTGGGTATGAAAACCCTTAAAATTCGTTAATGGGTTTCAAATATTGCTTTAAGAAATTCGGTCGACTTCAATAACCCGTTTTGTTCAATTACATCCGGTAAGGCAGGTATTGATTTTTTCTAAACAGAAAGAAGTAAGGGAATCATGAATAGTAGTTATGTGAGGATCAATTATGATTTGGTAAAAACAAAATCACCAAAATGTGTGTTGCGTTTTTAAAGTCCGTCAGTATATAAAGCGACTATTCTAAACCCAAGATGTTAGCCCTAAGAAAAAGTTAACCCTAGAGAGTCTTGTTTGTTGTGTTTCAGCCTTTGTGGTTTTTATGCTTTCTTTACAATAAATAATTTTGAACATTTTGTGTTTAATTCTATCAAAAAATATTATTCAAGTGACGAGCGTTTCTAATGACGCATATTCCAGAAATAAATGCAATGTGTATGGAAATCAGTTACATATGTTTTTCTTTTACTTAAGGTAGGTTTTTAATTTTTCATTTTAAAAATAATAAGTTCATGGTTTGTTAGTTTTTATGATCCAAGTGTTTTAAAAATATTCATATTCTACTTTTCAGGAGTCGCCACTGCAACCAGATGCTACTATTATATACTTTCTTACAGCTCCTATAGTTCGAAGTATTGTTACAAGGAATGTTGCTTTAAATATTCATATGATCCATGTTGTTATTACACTAAGACTACGACATTGTAAGTTCTGTTTTTGTTACACTAGTTATGCAATTTGCACGAAGTAAAACAGTCAAACCTGCTTAAGAGACCATCTATATTAAGCAAATAACTGTGTTATAAGACCATTAATTTTACGTCCCTCTGTAGTGCATTTCATATAGGTTTAACCTGTCTTATAAGACCACATTGTTACTTTACCTGAAATGGTCTTTTTAAACAGGTTTTACTGTATTTGGTTTCTTTTGTTTGAAGCAACAAATGAATATCATATTTGAAAGCCACACATGTCAGCAGAGTAAGATTTAGGAACTATTTCCATCATGAGGAGGTTAATTTAATACTGAACTATTTTCAGTTCAATAGTCTCTAAAATTTGTATTTTATACTCGATCAATACAAAATATAACTGTTATTTCCGTAATAAAAGAGTATGGTAGAAAATCTCGACAAATTACATGCCATACTACATTAACATAAGGTAACCAGTGTATGAACACAATCACGTGATACATTGTATACTTAAGGGTGTGTCTAGACAAAATCACATAAAATAGTAGTAGATGTGTTACGAAAAGGTATATACTCGACGCTGATGTTGTCAAATTAGACTTAAAATGTAGGGACTGTGTCAAAACATTGATTATCGATTAAAACAGGTAAAATTCAATTTGCGTGATGTTAACCACTTCTTTCGTTCATTTGAAATCATATTAGTTTTTAAAGATTATTTTCTGATATCATTGCTTATGTTTATAGGACGGGAAAGGTGTACATGTGTGCGGGGGAAGGGGTTGATGGTAATTCAAGTATGCACTTTTAGATTTGAAAAAAAAAATCACATAATAAACCAGTTTGATTTTTTTTTATATCAATTACTGTTCTTCGAGCATAATTATCAATCTGACACTCCACTATACCTAACTTCGTCCTGAAAATGCAAAACATACTTGTCACTCGACGAACAACAAAAAACCATCATTCGATCTCTACTAAACCCGCACAAGGCTCCACGGTCTGGTCTGTTTGATTTTGAGTTTGAAAGTTTTTAAGCGGCTAATACATGTAGCGTGTTCAACATATATCCGAAATCGCGAACAATAATCGCAAGTTCACTTTTTACATTATATTCTTTCTGCTCTTGATCTAAATGTAGCTCTAAGTTTACGACGCTTATAGAGGGTAACGATCGGAGAACGACATGCGGTATATTTTATTACCTAAAATGACAAAATCCTGTGGGAAATCTAATTCCATCCCTGGTCAATTGAAGGCAGTAAATTAAACTGTTGAGCATCATCCTGTTGTCCTATGAAACTACTGCGTGTGAATTTTAAAAATATAATGCACATGATTTCTACAAAAACATGCGTATGTATGCAATGCCGGTATCTGGAATAAAATGTGCCGTGTGTGGTCTGTAAATGGCATGACAATTGCTGTCAATTACCGCTAACGGTGTGGGCATTTTATGCCAACAGTCACGTAGTTGTCGCAATTTTTCTACGGTCGACTAAGAAGTATTTAATGTATGGATTTCACAAAGAATTGGTATCTAAGCATGTATTTGTGCACTTGCAGCATGCACAGAAACCTCAAAGAGAAATATGCTGAAATATGTATTTAGAATGTCAAACAGGCGAAAAACGAGTCACATTTAACATAGAACCCTTACAATAGGAATTACAATTTCAGTTTAAACTTTTTTTCCTGAGAATTAGTTAAAGTTAAAGTGAAAGAACAACATGCCGTAGACTTTTCGGACTTTTTGAAAGAGTGGTTACAAGGGTACGACAATTTCAGACCTCAAAACTACAATTCGAAATGTTTTAAAACTGTGCATGAATATATATAGGATGTCTTTTTCTAAAGATTCTCATTTCGTTGGGTCGAACCAGTAATATTTTACATGAAAATAATATAAGGGAAACTAAGCTTTTCCTGAGTAGACATTAACAGATTATTATATTATAAAATCATCCCCAAGGTCTAAGAAGGGCAAGCGAGGTTATAGAGGTGTCATGTTGGTCTTATGCATGATATGTACAATTGCCAAAAATTCACGATGGTTCAAACTCCGAAAAAAGGCAAACTATATCCAAAGTGAATCCATAAAAGGAGTTGCACATATTTTATGTATATAAATACCGCTGCATTGTACAAAGTTTAGAAGCTCCTAGGCCAGGAGTTTATTACTCAAAACGGGTACCCTCTTCTACCTCTCGCCTGCACGTCCGCGCCCCCGCCAGCCGGACCTTCATCATAATATAAAATAAGTCGGTTCTGCATTGTTTGCAACACGTCCAAAAGTTCTGACATCTGGTATACACCCCGTTAAATGGTCCGTCGCTGCTGATTTCGAACACTCAAAAAATTAAAAATAGCAAGTAAATATTGATTTAATTTATAAGGGTTGATTGAGGGCGGGAATAAGGGTTGTTTCTCTCATCTATAATACTTCTTTTTCTCGGCTTTCCTTCTCCCTTTTCTTCTGGAATTTATATCCTTTCTGTAATACTCTTGCCTCCTGTTAGTGTTCCAAAAGGAAGAAATATTATGGGTTTCATCATTTTTATTCCTCAACGAATTGTGGTTATGGACTCTTTGGTCCATTGTGAATATTTATAATGAAATGTCCATAATAAAGAGATCAAAGGGACGTCTGTTATAAGGACCAAATATACGTGGACAACAGTACTATGCAGTTTAAACACAAGATTCAATTGGTACACAGGTAGTTAAGATATTTAAATCCCTTTTGTGTTTTGATACGACACCCGCATTTAAAGTCTAATTTGTCAACCTCAGCGTCGAGTGTATACCATTTCGTAACACGTCTACTAAAAGGTTGTTGATAAAATCCAAGGGAAATATGTTAGAAAAATCACGGGAAATAATAACGGAAGTGTTCTGACGAAATCATACATGATATTGGAGGGAATATCAATTCGAAATAAATGAATATAAATATCAAGCAAGTTTCTCAACAAGTTTAAATTGAAAAAGTTAAGAAAGTATTAAGAACTTCAAACTTAGAGTGAAAGTCCAAAAACTTTCATTAAATACGGTAGTAAATATCAGGCAAAATCACATCAAATAATAAACGAAGCATCTTGAAGAAATCCAAATAAAAGGTATCTTGGCAAAGTTTCATGAAATAATTAAGGAAATTGCCACTGAAAATAATCAAAATATTGAGGAAAGTAAATAAAATAAAAACAAAATTTTGACAAAAAAATAAAATGAAATACTGAAAAAAAAATTCTCGATGGAATGAAAATTGGCAATTGAGTTAAGAAATGATTCACAGAATAAGTCTTTGGTTTAGATTGTAAACTGAAAGAATTTAATGTGATTTTCAAAACTTTAACATAACGTGTCTAATGTTTACTACTCGAACGATTGTTTCCCTATGCTAGTACGATGTTGCCCAAAATAAGAACATATTGCCCAGAGAGTAGTGATTTTCAGGAAATAGTTCTCACTATTACATTTACAACAAAATATCAGGTATTTACAGTATTTTGTTTGTCAGACCACTGTCTACAAAAATAAGTGAAAATACACTGTTAGTTCACATTTAAAAAAACATTGATTTTGTAGTACCGAGATATACTGGTGGCTGTGAAATACTCTCGTATAAGAATATCAATATGCAATGTTGCGCTTTATTTTATAATATATATGTGTAGAATTATGTACAGTTAAAGCGATGTAAACAGTAGGGAGATTGAAACTGACGGTAGAAATAATGGACTGATTAATTATATCAAAAACTCCTACTGATTCTTTTATTTCAAAGGAAATTGACTCCAGAGTATTTATATATGCAGCAATCTCTTTCGTTTAGTTTATGAACATGTATAGTCTGACAAAAGTCAGGATACTCAGGAAGTTAAATGTTAAACGATACCATACTAACCACCAACTCATCTGTATTAATCAATGCAACGAACTTTCAAAGGCAAACATGAACAAACAGCATACAGTCCAGCTGAGCCTGACTTGGTACAGGCATACAATGTGTAACTGTTTAGGTTAAACCAGTGTATCGTGCGTATAAGCATATCGAGATATTTGCCAATAATGATGACATGTCGTAAAAGTTAAATACCCAATAAAATCCACAACAGTTTAGAAACCAGAAGGAATATAACTGTCTTCAATGCTTCAACCCTTCTGTGTACATTACATATCATCATCATCATCTTGGTAAAAAATATCTAATTGAAAATCACGTTAGATAATTGCTCGAATAAATGCTGCCCATTTGAAATGGGGTTGGGATGAGCATCTGAAAATTATGTAAAGACTGTCAAAAACGTGGTATGCATAAAAATTTGTGAAAATATAGCACGGTATTTAAAAAAATAAGCCTGCATATGTAGGAACTATTTGACAAGTTTTATAAAATCATAAATGGAGTAATCAATATTTTTTAAACGTTGATACCAAAACAATAGAAGAGAAAGCTGACAGACAAAAAATATTTGTATAATTGAACCCTTTTCGTGAGATTGCATGTCAAAACTGTCAAAATATTGTAATGTAATTGTTAGGTATCTCAGTTATTGTCAAGAAACAAATTTATTAGCGATTATTGATGACTTACATCGTTATAGATAACTTAAGCGATCTTTGAGCTTAATAATAATCACGAAAGCGAGACATAGCGATGCTAGATTCCGTCGTCGTCAGCGGCGTCAATATTTAGTCTGTTGCTAAATTTTTGTCAGACATCAATTACTTTGTCAAACTTCATGAAGTTTCATGATATTTGAATGGAGGGTTTTCTACGACAAAAAAAAAAACACAATATCCGAAGCAAAAGTTTGTAAATATTTATTTTCATTTTGCCGTATTTTACTGATAGATGAACATAGCTGTTGTACAAATAACACTACATACAGTCTAAGTTAAATATTTTTCAGTCATCTATATCTTTTTCAAACCTTCATTGAATTTCATGAAATTTGGACAGAGGCTCTATTATGACCAAACGACAATATCGAAAGTAAAATTTTGAAAATATTTCTTTTTCTTTTTCCATATTTTACTTATAAATGGTTGTTTAAAGTTAACAAGTAGATACAGTCTGGGGTTAAAGTTTGTAACACGTCGATTACATCAAACTGTCATAGAACTAGACTAATTTTTGACAGTCAACATTACACTTTTACACTGACAGCAGCAATCGCAGGTGAGACACAGGGATCCGTGGAATACTTTACACATTTTTTTTATATTTGATACTATCTGTATTTCTTGTGTTTTCTTCTTATTCTCGGCTTAGGTCAACTGGGGGAATTATTGGAGTAGCAGTGACTGGTGGTATAGTATTAATTGTCGCGATTACAATTTGCGTTTGGCGTAGATATAAGCATAAGAAAGCCGCAGCACCACAAATGATGACAAATGCTCAGCAAATGGTTCCGAACATGCAGTCATGTGCTGTTGGACCTGCTACGAATATGCAACCTATGCAAGGTAATGGGATGCACTATGTACCGAATCCACAGCCAACAGTGTCCTACGTTACACCAGCGGGTTAGTTATTAACATATCCCATTGATTAGAATGTATTTTGTATTTGTACAAAAAAATGAGTTGTGGTCTGTTTTGAATGATATATTTAATAAGAAAGTTTAGTACCCATGATATCATATTTTATGCCGTCGATAGAATTGTCTAGTCATTGAAACAAACTAAATATACGTTTTGCGTTACTGAGATGAAATATTGAGGCCAATAAGGCAGCAATACGGCTTAATCCATAGCCTTTTATAAGGGTTATAAGGTAACACGAAGTCTGAATCTATTGCATATTATTTAAGAGTTATGGTTTAGCAAGATCTCTGCATCTGTTGAATATCATAATGGTTGCGAGGCAGCAAGTCGTCTACATGATTGGAATATGATAAGGTTTTAAGGCAGCACGATCTCTTTAATAAAAGTGACAAATTTGTAAAAGCAACTTTGCTTGTATCTGAATATTAGATATTTATTTCAAATGTATTTTATCATTATGTGATGATTTATCTGAATACATATTGTTTAAATTTAAATTAATTTCTCTGCATCTATTGAACATTATAAAGGTTATAAGGCAGCAAGATTTTATCATCTATTGAATACTAAAAGTAGAGTTGTAAGGCAGCAAAATGTTTTCATCTTTTGAATGCCATAAGGGTTAAAAATCAGCAAAATGTCTCCATTTTTTGAATGTAATAAGGGTTAAAAGTCAGTAAAATGTCTCCATTTTTTTTTTAATATAATAGGGTAATAATGTAGTACGATGTCTACATTCATTACGCAGAACAAAATATTTGAAATGTCATAAAAATATATTGAAATGTATAATAGTGCAAATACTATCAATTATCACCATATATTACGAACAAAACTAGACAACGTAATGTACAGCAAATGTATTGCCTGCATAGAAACATTTTTGCCCTCATCCTATCATTTTCCTAGTGATCGGCTTGGCCTTGAAATAAAAAGCGAAGGCATCTTAAATCAAATATATTTGTACGATTAGTCTGCCATTTTTAAAAGAAAGGTAATGTTGGTATCTTATAGAACTGTTTAGAAACGGAGTAGTTTGTACGAGCATCTGGATTTTTTATCCCCTAGTCTAAGAACTCTACACCATTGAAGATTTATAGAGAAACGATTAACCAATTTAATCTTATCTGTATCACGAAACATATTTCAAAGGAGTAGGTCCGGTAAGGGCCGATTATGGCCTCAAAATTTAGGTTCATCTGATGAAAGTTTTTGGACACTTTTTAAACACTTAAGTGTTTACTTCAGTCGATTCAATTAGTTTATGTGAACGATTTGAACTTATTTAGTTATTAACGACGCTCAAATTCAAGCTTGAATATGAAAAATCTATCAAATATGCCATAATATGTCACTTTTTAGATGATTTTTGTCAAAAATGAAAGTGGCCGCATCCGTGTTCATTCTCAACCTTTACATATGTTATGTATTATCATCAAATACAACTTACATATAAATATTAAGAATGAACACAAATGCGGCAACTTCCATTTCAGACGGAAACCTCTAAAAATTAACCAAAATGCTAAAATTTCGAAGATTTCAGTAATTTAGTTAGCATGACTTAATGATGCTAGTACCCGATACATGTGCATTGTATTGTCAAAACCAGCCCATATTTATGTAACGGAAGTATTCTTCTTTACAATAAATAGCTAAAAATTTACATTTTAACAATTTTGTAAAACTGCTATATTTTGGGGGCCAAAAAGGGGTCTTACTGGGCCTACTCCTTTCTTATTTTGATCGATCTCAGTATCTAGTTGAACAATAAACACTCTTTTCTAGCACTATATATGATATCCTTGTCCAAAAAGTGCGTCATTAGTGGAGCAGAAACTGTTGTTCCTTCTGGAGCACATGATGTCACCACGGTTTTTGGTCGGGTTCGTGTTTTTCAATTTTTATTTTTTTCTATGAAGTATTTGCGTTGTTGATCAATTTCACTTTAATTTGACATGTTGTAGTCTGTGTTACTCAACTGATGATTTTTGATTGCCTCCGTAGTCTCTTCTCCCTCTTACTGTATTTGTCATAATTATGTTATATTCGTAACATTTCAGGATTTCAAGGAAACCCACCACCTTATGGAGGACTACAAGGAAACCCACCACCTTGTGGGCCTGTTGTGTACTATCCAGGCCCTGCACCAATAGTCACGGCACCAGCGGCTCAAAAGAAAAAGAAAAATACAACAAAGAATGCTCTTAGATTACTTTCTTTGATGTAACATTTTATTAGCTAAAAACAGACACGTTGAATGCGTGTTTAAATCAAACATACATATATATGTGAAAAATAATATGCCAAATTTGGTAAAATTCGATAAATTCAAGGGTTACATGATTTTTCCAACTTCAGGTACCAAACATCAAGTATCTTTTTTGTATTAGTTTTGTATTTAAAATTTTGGAAAGTAACGATGTATTCAACATTAACTTGATTACAATTGCTTCACTCTTTCTATCGAAGATAATAAAAAGCTAAACATCTATTTGTATTATCGATAAATATATTTAGTTGAAATTTATCCAAACATAAATCCACGATTACCCCAGTGTAAAGTAAACCAAAAAGAAAAATTGAAGTTCCTATTCAAAATAAAATTTGCGGAGTATATATTTCTTTAAACACAATAATTACGTTTAATTAAAAGTCCAGTTTCAGAAAGAAAAAAAAAATGAAGTTTGTTTGAAATGCCATGAAATGTCAAGGTTAAATTTAAATGGTCACAGCAAAATAGAATAGCAACAGAAAAAAAGTAAACAATGGCGTTACAGGTAGTCATATGTTATACATATTGAAATTTAAAAACCATGTGATCATAGATTATAACTGACAAATAATCTCAATTAAAAAACTACTTAGTAGTATCTTAATAAATATATAGTATAAATCATAACAAAATAAAAATTCTATGAGTTACAAATGAAATGTAAATTTTATACCCTCCAAACCGAATGTCCACCAAACAAACAAATCTCAGAAACTGCAAATTGTAACTTTTATAATATTTCTATAATAACTTAAAGAGTAAGTCTACATCATCTTCTATAATCCAAGTCGAGGACGCGCACCTCGATTCCCCATCACAATGACAGGTGTACTAACCATTGTACTAACAAGGATGTATGATAGAGTCAACAGTGTAAACCTTCTACAATAATAATAATATTATTAATAAGGGTAATGCAATGGGCTGATATAAGAAGAGTAGAATAGTCAAGACAATGTAAGGAAAAAAACCCCACTTACTATAAACATGTAAATATATATAACTAAAATAAATACATATTTGTCATTTTCATTAATAAATCATTTATAAATATACAAATATGTTTATATTTTTTTTGGGGGAATTATTTTCTTAAACACCCTTGCCTAAACTTTTACCTCGAGTTTGACTCAATCAGTTATCTCAATAGAACAATCACTGATAAATGGGACGAATTCAGTTTTGAAATTATAAATTTTCCTCATCTTAGCAGCAATATAATAGCTCCAGCAGCGTATTCGGTATACATTTCCAAATGTATGCAATATTCAATAGCAAACTACTGCTACGCAGATTTTGCAAATCGTAATCGGTGTATGAACAAAAAGTTTATGAACCAGGGTCAAAGAACGTCTTATTATTTTCTCTCAAAGTTCATCGGAAGGTACCATGACCTAATATTTAGTAAATAAATATACAGTGTTAACCTCACAAGTAATACACGATGTTTTCTTGGGTGATACATTTTATTTTGCAGTTTCCTTTTATTTATATTTAAAGGTTGTGTACTGTCGTACAAAAATGTTTCTTTTGTTCTTTATCGAGCGAGTGCGTGTATGTAGATAATATATTACTATAAGTCTTTATTATAATTTAATATCAATTACAAAAAACGTGTTCGTTGGTGTCATTTTCACATTGATATGCAGTCTTCTTCTTCCTCCTAAATACTGCCATTATTTGACATGTTGAATATTCTGGGACATGTTTACTATATACAGACTTCACTAAGAATGGTGTGCTCCTGACGCAAAAACTGCTCCAACAGAGTGATGAAGAAGAACGACTGAAGTCGACACTACATACGTTTAAGATCAACGTTACGAATTGGTAAACCGATAGGATTCGTAGGTGTCTCAACTCACTAGCGATATGTTTCCGCGGTCTTAAATCTTAATGATCTGTTATTCTACAGATTGTGTCCTATATTCGATTTTGACATTTTAACTGAGTGTGAAATGACATGGCGTGTGATGCGTGTATAGCAGGAGACACTTGCCCTGTCGGCGTACACTGTCCTTTTGGATTTCTTATGATGCCCTCAGTTTCTGTTTGATACCTTGATGTTCTCTTCCAGATCAATCTGCGGTATTCGAACATCGGCAAATTACTCTCGTCTTAATTTAATTTGAGTATTCGGAAGATAAACTCAACATCGTACAATTACAATCCAATTATAGAAGTAGGCGGTCCCAGTAAAGTGATTATCATCCATCACAAAAAATAAAAAAGGAAACAAATCAAAGAAAAGTAGCACAACGCAATAAAGATGTTATTGAAACGAGGTAGAACAGACTAAATCGTCATCATCGACCCAAGAAAATAAAAACAATAGTCTAAATCATAACACAGAGACCTAAAGATCGAACAACTCAATCTTCAGGGAAACGGGGGAAAGGGAAAAGGGGGAAAAGGGGGGGGGGAATCACAGAATAAGTAAATAAATATATAAAAATGACACCACAGGGCCGTTTAAAGGATAAGTTATTCCAAAAAAGCTCCACTTCGAAAATCCTAGTCGAAGGAAAAATTTCAACGTCATCGGAAATACAAAAGACAACGAAAAACGAAAAAGTCCAAAACACACTATGAATAATCAAATAATGGGCAACGAGTACCTTATCAAAAACTGGGTAATTACCGTTGCTCATAAGGATAAGCATATCATGTGGCATAGTGGCATGTTTCACATGGAAAATAAAAAAATGTCGAAATGTCACATTCCCGAAGTAAAAGAATTCACTCTATCAACTTTGGCTTTGGTTCTTTATCAATTTAGACTTGAGGCAAAAATAAAAAAAAACGTTTTATACATGTAATAATACTATCTTAATATTCCATGAATGTAATACATTGAGTTAAGAACATGGTAGGTACCGAATAACTATTCACGCCAGTAGTTTCGCTTCAGGTAGTTTTGTACCTTATCTTACATACATAATTTGTGTATTAAAAGACAATGGCATCGCTAACATCCAAAGTAACCACAAAAGCCTTAGAAAATATATTGAGAAAAACCGTATATGTATAAACGATTCTCAAGTTAACGACCGACATCTAAATTATACCAGTATCATTGCGTAAAATTGTAGACGTGTTTATATATACAGAGTAACAAAACAAAAATGATTGCTGACTTTATACAGGAGATTCTTGGGAAGAAGGAAAAAAGCCAGCGTTATCCTTTAACTTCACCTTCCGCTATATAGATGATGTTCTCTCACTAAATAATTCAAAGATTGCTGAAAAAATTGAACGCATCTATCCCATCGAACTTGAAATAAAGGATACAATATATACAGTTTATTCTGCCTCATATCTTGACTTACATCTAGAAATTGACAATGAGGGTCGGTTGAGAACAAACTTTACGACAAAAGATATAACTTCAGCTTCCCAATTGTAAACTTTCCATATCTATGTAGCAATATTCCAGCAGCGCCGGTATATTGTGTATAAATCTCCCAGTTGATACGACATTCCAAGATTTGCGTTTACTATCATGATTTACTTGACAGAGGATTGCTGCTCACAAGGAATCTATGAAACCAAGACTTCTAAGAGGTGAAGTTGAAAGCATCCCTTCTGAAATTTTACGGACGCCATCACGAGTTGGTTAACCGTTTCGGAATATCTGTTTAACAATCCTGCCCTCCATTTCTCCGAATGTGATCTATCAAATTAGACTGATCATCTGGTTTGTACTTACAAGAGCAACATGACAGGTGCCACATGTGGAGCAGAATCTGCTTTTCTTTCCGGGGCACCCCGGTTTTTAGTAGGTTTCTTGTTGCTCAGTCTTTAGTTTTCTATGTTGTATTTTGTATACTGTTGTTTGTATACTGTTGTTTGTATTTTGGTTTTTTCTTTTTTTCTGCCATGACGATGTGAGTTTATTTTTGACTTATTTGTTCGAATGTCCATTTGGTATCTATCGCCTCTCTTTTATAAAACAATTATCTAAAATTCGGTTAGGTATTTTTACAAGTTCTGTCACTAGTTGCATGACAGATTAACGATTTTCATGGCAAACATTGACCTAATTTAATCACAGGACATTTTCAAAATAATTGACTGAGTAATATCATCTATTCTGTAAATAAAATATCTCAAATTCCTTCATTTCATTCACCCGTTTACAAAAGTTAAAATGTAGAATATAATTGACTAGTCTCACAAAGATTGAAATAAACAAACAGTTTTGTAGGTGCAAGATATTCATTTCAAAATTTTGAACAATGGAACTGGTCATATGACAACATTTCAAATATATCGTTAAGCTTCAGTTTTATAAGGAAGAATTTACAGCCAACTGAATACTAACAATTACTCAGTAACATTTTGAAATTCAATGCATATGTATTTTTGTTTCATAATATTGATAAAATTACAAACATTTGATAAAGAGAACATGATGTGTTTATTTTTCTTTAATTTTTGATTTTTTGGTACACAGGTAACATATTGTTTTGTAGAACAAAATCTTGCATGTAGATGTATTAATTTTAACTGTAACTAAGTCTACAATGAATCATGTGTAAAGTAACGTTTAAATGTATCTACCGATTTTTATTGAACGACTTTTTAAAAAACATTATTCCCCCTTTGATATTTTTTGCCTCTTTTTTATTCTTATGAAAAATATTGAAACCTTTTCATGGAATATAAGATATAGCTATACTGTCAGATTGGAATATAAAGTAGGATATGTTTTTTTCTAATTTCCTTTTTAGTCAAAGAGTTAAGGTTTAAATGATTTAATACACACGTGTTCACCTATATTATAAGATAATTTATAACATCTCGTCTACTCTTTTTTTCTGTTTTAACGAATCGTGAATTCTAAATCTTTAATAAAATTTACGTGTACTGTTTATAAAAACAAATTCAACTGTGTTAAGCATTGCTTGTGTGCAAGCTCCATACTTGCATGGATTAAAGTACAAAGATAAGGAAGCTTACATATTTGGCTATACTTTTTATTCAGTAACGTCTTAAACACTAAAGGAAAAGTACAATAAACGATAATGTCTCGGTTAGAACACACGTCATAGATAACAGGCATAATTCTTTTTGGCTTTTAACTAGCTGTCAGTAACTGCGAGTACACTCAAATCGTACTTTCTTGTTTATGACCTGTTGATACTAATTGTAATGCTTTTTTGTTATTCAATGTTATTCAGGGTTATATCTGGTCTATATACCAGCTTTGATACGTGTTTGGTATTACTTTAAATTTTCACTTCTTCGTACTATGAATATCAAAATTATTTTTTTGTAAAAATATTTCCTTTCTCTATTTGAACTGTACACGTATACCTAACAACAAATTTTTTTTAATTTTTTCCTGTGTTTAAAGTAATTGCAAATGGCTGATATTTTTGTTCAAGTATATTGTTTTTCTTAAATTGTTTAACATATCATAGCGGTATAACTTGTTACTTTAATTATTCTTCCCTTAGTTTATTTATGTTGTATTTGCATTGTATCATAGATCAAATTTATTTGTTCAGTGTATGTTCACTGGTGTTAATATGTCTTTTGATTGAGTTAAGTCATTTCAATTGATATTTGATAGTGTGTTTTTCTATGTTGTGATGTTACACTATTGTTTCAGATAAGGGTGAAGTTTTTGTACCATTAAAACGTTTAAATCCCGCTGCAATTGTTTGCACCTGTCCTAAGTCAGGAATCTGATGTTCAGTAGTTGTCGTTTGGTGATGTGGTTCATAAGTGTTTCTCGTTTCTCGTTTGTTATATAGATTAGACCGTTGATTTTCCCGTTTGAATGGTTTTACACTAGTAATTTTTGGGGCCCTTTATAGCTTGTTGTTCGGTGTGAGCAAAGGCTCCGTGTTGAAGACCGTACTTTGACCTATAATGGTTTACTTTTATAAATTTTGACTTGGATGGAGAGTTGTCTCATTGGCACTCATACCACATCTTCTTATACCTATTATGAAACGGTACACCAGACTACATGATATTCATCAATGGCACTCACATATAGATTTTGAAGGTCAAATCAAATACAAAAATGAAGAGCATTTAAACACCGAAAACTGCTGAAGTCACTAGTCTTATAGGTTAGTATAGATTATCACGACAGTTCATAGGTAGAAATCGAATCAAAACAGTGTGAAGGTAGAATCTGTTACGAAGTTGATGAGGATTCGAACCAACTAAAAAAAAAAGACCAACTGTATTGAACGATTAAAAAATATGAGCAGTACATTACAGGCAATTACTGCATCTAATATGTCCTTGCCAGTGTATGAGTCTTCACAACATGGCTGGTTATACATCTGGCAAACTGTAAATTAGACACTGTGCTAATTTCAGTATAAATAGTACTAAATTGAATTATAATATCTGGGTCTAAATGCCAACAAAGTTCACTTTTTAACAAGATCAACATGGCGTCCTTAAAACACAAGGAGGAATAACCCCAAAAAGTGAGGCGAAAGATACCAAAGGAACATTCAAACTTATAATTTGAACATAAACTGACAACACCATGGCTAAAAAAGAAAAGACCATCAGAAAAACAGAAAAAAACAGTACGGAAAAAACAACATATAAAAACTAAAGACTTAGCAACACGAACCCTACCAAAAACTGGGGGTGATCTCAGGTGCTCTAGAAGGGTGAACAGATCCTGTTCCGCATGTGGCACCCGTCGTGTTGCTCATATAAGTACAAACCCGCTGATAAGTCTGAATCGGTAGGTCACATTCGAGGGGAGGGGATTGTAGTTACGAAAATTGGAACATATCCGTTGTCAACTGTGAAACAGATATTCCGAAACGGTCATGCAACTCGTGATGGAGTCTTTAAAATTTACGAAGGGATGATTTCAACTTCAACACATGGAATAACATAAACGGTACCAATTTTTCTGCACCAGATGCGCATTTCGACAATCAATATCTTTTCAGTTTTGCTCGAGGCCAAAATATTCGAAATCTAAACTGGAAGCTTAAGATATATACTCCGTATGCAGGCGCTGCTGGAAGGTTGCTACATAGAAATGGAATGTTCAAAGCTGAAATCATCTTTTTTGTCGTAAAGTTTTGTTTCAGCCGACCGTCATTGAAAAATTCTAGAGGTAAGTAAAGATATGAGGTAGACTAAACTGTATCTGTTGTATCCTTTATATCAAGTTCGATGGTATAGATGCGTTTATCATAATCACCAAATTATGAATTATATAGTGAGAGAACATCATCTATATAGCGGAAAGTGAAGTTAAAGGATACTTCCTGCACGAAGCCAGCCTCATATGAATAAAGGAACAAATCGGCAAGAAGAGCAGCACGGTTGGGTCCCATTGGAATACCGATTGTTCAAGTGGTGTTTGCTATGGTTTGTATGAAGTTAGGCTATAAAGTGTGTTCGGTTATTGAAAATGAATAACGCTTCAATTAATGATTTATCAACAAACCATAACCATTGAATCTATTAGGAAAACTTCTTTTCGATAAAATTGTTTTATAATAGGCGTAAGTGCACTAATACGACAAAAGTACATGTGTATCATTGAATATTCACAGAGAGAAGATACGTGCGAAATGGAGAAGGTTTCATATACATAAAAATACCAATGCATAGTAAGAACTTTGAGATGATCGGTATCGTGTGTAAGAAAATCGACATATGTGAATTGAAAATTTTACTGAGAGCACATACATTATATATATATAAATATATATATATATATATGTATGTATTTTAGGACACCAATACAGAGACGGAATTTGAGGCTGTACACCTCAAACTATGAAATATATAAAAAATGAGATAATTCGTTCGTGCTACTCTAGAAATCAAAGTTTTTGTATATTAACGAAAAAAATGCGAACATTTTCATTGTAGTTCGAGTAATTCATGTTATTGAAAGAGATTGAAAATATCCGATTTTTTTTTCGGGAAATTTTTAATTGAATTGATAATACTTCTCTTCAATGCTTTATTTATCGTATAATTTAGTTACAATGAAAACGCATTTTATTTGTGATATTGTTTATTACTCATATGTAGATATAAGAAGATGTGGTATGAGTGCAAATGAGACAACCCTCCATCCAAGTCAAAATTTATAAAAGTAAACCATTATAGGTCAAAGTACGGTCTTCAACACGGAACCTTGGCTCATACCGAACAGCAAGCTATAAAGGGCCCTAAAAATTACTCGTGTAAAACCATTCAAACAGGAAAACCAACGGTCTAATCTATATAAAAACCGAGAAACGAGAAACACTTATGAACGACATCAACAAACGACAACTACTGAACATCAGATTCCTGACTTAGGACATATCTGTAAAGACTGAACTTGATAATTAGATATAAGAAGATGTGGTATGAGTGCCAATTAACCTGGATGATGTTTGACGGCATTCTATAATACTCTAAACCTAAAAACGTACAAGATCTGCATCTTCAGAAAAATACGGGTTTTGTGTAGTGATTTAGCTCAATACAGTCTTTCTTCTATAAGAATCTTTACGTTTCTTTAAATGTACATATCCTTTGAAAATTCATCTGCAAAGTACATCGAAAAAATGTCATAAACAAGACTATGAAATACCACTCAAATCAATCGTATGATAGGTAAGGGATACCTGTATATACGTGATCTTATAAAAATGAAAATTAATGCGGGAATCTTGAGAATCACATCCGTATTGAAAATTAGATTTCTATCATTTTCCATCACCTAAAAACTATATGATCATGACGAAAATCCCACTGTATGGTTTTAAAAGTCTTGGGATACTTATTTTACACTTGAGCTACATGATAAGTTGACAATAATCTGTTCCATTACGTCCGTGTGTCGACTTACGTATATGTGTCATTATATTGGCAATATCTTTTAAGAGATGAACGGTTCCCTTAAAACAAATTGGAGTGTAGAACAATTCAAAAATTCAAAATCTAAACCTTACGGTCTGATATAAATGATAACATAAAACGAAAATAAAATGTTATCAGAAGCAAACGAACGACCTCCCCTGGACTATAGGTTGCTACGATCGAACATGTACATGCAGAATGTGATGGTGTACAACATTTTTGTGACCTCCTAACTACCCCCAACCTTGAAGTGGTGTTATATCATAAAGATTTCATATTATTACTCAGTAGGACAAAATATAATGTAAAATGAAAATGTACACGTATCGTATAAATATCATATAAGTAGTACCAATCTAAAAGCAGTCCAAGTTATTGAATTATCCATTTTTTGCCTGAAGGTTTTTTCTATTTAAGTTCGAAACAGGTAATTTATTCATAACAAAAATACTTGCACTATGTACACATAAAACTCAGTCGTCGAGAGCACTAATGGTTTAAAAAAAAGATTTCATTTAATCTACTTTTGACATTTCTGTAATCACCAAAGTTAGACAAAAACGTTAACACGATAAATCTTATGTGCTTTTCATCTTAAAAAATGCTTAACCGACTAGCTTTTATACGCACAAGTGTACTTTATTTTTCTTCTACAAAGCAAGTCTGATATCCTGATTACATTAAAATAGTATGTTTTGTTTACGGGTGAATGATTGTCAGCTTCATTTTAAACACATATAAGTATAAGTTGTATTCGGATTAAATCTCCAAAAACTCATTTGATATTGTACAATACAAAAAACAGTGTCACGTGATGGTATTATATGTTCACTGTCCAATTAACCTAAACATTGTAATACAATCTTAAATTTCACTTATAAATTTCTATCTACAACAAAATTTAGATAAAACAGGAAGAAGAAGAGGAAAACAAAATGTTTGGCTTTTTCCAGATATTTCATATATTTTTAGGTATGTACTCGTATGTCAACTTGCATTTATACTTTGCAAATAAAAAAAAAGTTCAATATTTCATTATTAATTCATCAATTTATATAAATGATTTATAAAAAAGGCATCAATAACTGTTGTGCATTTTTGTGCAGTGTCATTGTTTAAGAAGAGGGGTGGAAGGAGGGGTTTCATCCCGAATTCCTGAAAAAATAAAGTAATCTTTCCCAGATCCCGAAAAATTAATTATTAATTTCCAAATCTCGATAGGTGTTAATCCCGAATTCATGCAAAAATAAAGGCCCAATCCCGAATTCCCGCGCAAATAAAGGCCCAATTCCGACGTCCCGAAAAAGTTCCTTCCGCTCCTCTCACAACTAATATATAAACAGGCTTAGATCTGTTTAGAAATATTTTCTTTGTTTTCCGCCTTGTAATAATGTGACGCTATGTTCTTTGCTCAGTGTTTTGCACAGGATAATGTCTTCTTGTATTGTTTATGAGATTCATTTGCCTATGTTTGGGTAAAGAATTTGACCGGAAGGCATGCTTTCATATCAGATGATTCCAACCTTGCTTTCAGTATCTGCGAGAATTTTTGTTTTATTATTTTACTTACACTTGTATTATTGTTATGTCTTATACCGTAGTCGTGGTCCTTATCCTATTATTATTTTCATTTCATTATATTTTATGCACCATTTATCATTATACCGATCGAGATGAAAGGGGTATATTTTTTATATATTTGCATTCATTGTTTTTATTTCATTTTGGGGAAAATAGGGTGATGAATACTCTTTGATAATGTCTTTAAAATTTTCACATTATTTGTGGACACGATTCGCTTTAGAGCTTGAACAGACACCTTTTTATCATAAAGGACCGTGAACCGTTTATTGACGTATTATGCTGCTCTATCGTTGACGTTTACACCACACCGCCTTTTATTCGTATGCGTATTGCACAACAATTCAAAACATAAACTAGTGTAATTAAGTATAATATTTTGCTTCCATCTTCTGTGATATCCTTTTTTCAGTTTAAAACTAAAAACCTATTTCACTTTTCAATAACGTTGGTATTGAAAGAACCAAAGCGAATAACATAAAAATCGTTGATATATTAGAAGCGTTTGTCTGAGTAAAAAGGTAAAAGATAACAAAGTTGAAATAGAAAAAAAGCACATAAGTCGAAGTAAAATGGACAATGACATAGTGCAAAAATATCCCAACATGCTCAAGTTCATCAAAAGAGAAACAACATGTCAATGTAAAAAGATACTAACAAACCTTTGTGTGCACGCAAGTGCTCCAAAACAGTAATCAGTTAAGATAAAACACCAGGTAAACTCAAACATAAATTGTTTTAAAATCTTGAAAAAGTTAAAAAAAAAAAAGATAAAATAATGAATAGGAAAAATATAATTCTAAAGAATCAGCATATAACTAAATTAATAAAATTGATATAATATAAACGAAATGTAGCAGCGTAGTTCATAAAAGAATTCATCGAACCATTTAAAAGCCTTGAAAGGGAGAGGACTGGAATATCGTATCAAAAAAGCAATACAACTTAACATCCAGTAGGGTGAAAACCCACATAAAAAGTCTACCAAATCGTATTATAATTATTACCAACGATACTTTTCAGTTTAAGCCTAAATAGTCTTTATGTAAAAAAGAGAAAAGAAAGGAACATTTAATCTCTCCAAAATATGAGCTGATAAACAAAACAACGTCAGCCAATCAGAAGACGCGTTACATCCAAAATTTAATTATTAAATTGTACAAAATATAATAATTTATATGTGTTATTGGTCCTTTCTACATGTTCTGTCACTCGTACACGACAGTCGAATTATCTCCATCGTTACCATTGAATTACTATAATCGAAGGCTATTACAATAAAAAAAGCTCATCAAAGATACTTGGCTTATAATTGTTACACAAGACGTAAAGTTTCATCTACAAAAGATTCAACTCAGTCATACTGGAATTATATTTGTTAAAGAACGAACTTGAATATCAACACATCAGTATCTATTCTATATATTTTTAGCAATCAGATGAATTTATTTTACTCACCCTCAACTCAACTCGATTATGATTTGACATAAAGTAACTACCATCCCACGGATTTTAATTTAACCGAAACATTAAATGTGAAATAAGTTTATTTCAAATTGTGAAAAGTGTTACTGGTCATGTGAATATTTGTTATTAAATTGATAGTCAAATTGCAAATTGATCATAAGGTCTTCACAGCCAGTTAAATACTAACAAAAATAGCTCTGTAAAATTCTGTAATTCGATGTCTTTCTTTTTATCTAATGATAGTTAGACATTTGAAATCATTTGATACAGGGAAATTGATGTGTTCAAGTTTCTTAAAATTTGATTTATTTTCGTTTGTAAACATTTGTGTTTGATAAATTTAAGTAGATGGTATTATAGGAAACTGTGTTCACTGTTATTGTTATAAAGACTTCCATGATTTTAAAAGCCTTTCCTCCATAAAATAATAAATCGAAGATATTTCCTGAATTCCAGGACCAGTGTGAATCCTAGACTGTATAATTGACAAGTATATTCTGTACAACCTTTCGTGTATTCTTTTCTCTTAACTCGTGACGAAACTCGCATAAGAAACTCTATTGTACTGGCAACTACAACTTGATTAAACGGTTCAAAGTGTTATACATGGTATATTATGCAAGTTCTACATATCACGAAGTATAGTACACCAAAAATGGTGCTGAGTAGTAATTTGGTTAATATTGAATACCACCCAAACATAAACGTGTCCCAAATCTAAGACATATGACAAAACACATTATATCCATTTCTATATAAAATATTCAATAAATCTCAAGCAAGATTGCCATGACACTAATGAACATAACATCAAGTACTTCCCCGTCAATGTATAAACTTTGAATTGTCCTTATGTAATGGGTAACAGGAACGTACGTTGTACTATTACTGAAGTTGTTTTTTCCTGTTCCGTGTATTGTTTATACTGCTACTTACAAGCAGATGGTGTGACCTTAACATGAGTTCAAATAATCAAACATTTCATTACTTGTAATCACAATATATATTTTTACACTATTTGAAAAAGTTTCAGACAATATCTTCTATCCTGTTACTTTACCTATAGTAACAGGATTGACAGTTACAGGGTAGACAAGTTTTCGTATGCCGCTGATGATAGTAACTAACCCTCAATTTGCGGTAATATTGTTTTATTTTATGTTCTTGTTTTTCTAAACATTATTGCACTTTTTACATGACCAGTATAAATGTATCACTGGTAAATTTTATTTGTTGGTAGCATCATAGACATGATAGAAAGGTACGCAATTAATTTCTCTAAATATCTTGAATTTTCTTTCCCTATGTAAAAATAAAGAGATGTGGTATGCTTACCACTGAGACAACTAACCACCAGTGTTTAAATGACGTGATATTAGCAATTAAAAGACAAACAACATAAGACAAAATACAACATAGAAAACTGAGCACAATCAGCTCTCACCAGTGAGTCTTTCAAGTATTTTGGGTCTACTGGAAGCCAGTACGAGTGGTTCTAAAGAGATCATGGTTATTTGTTCTATTCTCTTCCAATTTTGGTGGAAATGATCTGAAAGTAGGTTAACACATACATAAGCCTTTTGTTGACCTTTTCTCTATACATTGTAAAGGTTTATGTCGTCTAATTTTGTTTGCACGACAAAAACTTCTATTTATGTGCTTTTTTCTGTTACAGCAGTAGATTATATGGTTGCGAAGTTGCTGAAATTGCCTTGTTTCCGTTACATTTATAAAAAAAATATTCTGAAGAGGCTGACCGTAAGGGGATGCCTTTAGTACAATGTTTTCGATATAAATATAAATATGTACAAGTTTCATGAGGTTTTGTGAATGGAGCTATAAATTTAATGTGAAGCTCTTTACGTTTTTAATTGTATGTGTCATTCAAACAATTATTACTAATTTAAAATATATCTATTTTTCAGGATTGGGTTTGGCAAGTGCCAAACAATGTTATTACTATGTATATTTGTACAAATTGGGGTCAAAGTACTGTTCCAACGGCTGCTGTTCTATATACAAATCTAATCCATGCTGCGTTTATTATTATTACTCTGGTACTACATTGTAAGTTATTTTATCATTACATTTTTAAAGTAATTGTTATAATTATTATTCCAATATTATAAAAGAAAAACACTTGTATTCTTTAAATAATACTAAAAAGTCGCCGCCATATCTGAGTGTCAGGATGCTTATCAAATAACAGGTCATGATTTTCAGTATTTAGTATATGGATGATGAGGGCTAAATCGCTCAATTTGCAGAAATATATTATATGGGTAATTACTTAAAACACTAAAAGAAAAAAATGAACATTATCAAGTGACTATAATGGCTAGAACATTGAATAAGATTTTACATCACCAATGAAAAAAACGTCTATGTTAAAGAGAAGTAAAACATATTACCTGAAGATTTATTTTGGGTTTGATCTTGAAATAATGATTGGAAATATTGAACATTGTCGAAATTAAAAACAAGAGGCCGATGACACAAAGGTTGAATCAACACGCATGAGTAGAAGAGAGAAAAATAATCCCCCCCCTAATTAACGAAAAAAAAAACGTACAATAGGCTACAAAACTCTACATAAAAAACTAAAGACCGAGTGACATAAACCCCTCTAGAATGGTAAGCATATGTTGCTCCACATGTGGTAGTTGAAATAAGGGTTCCACGGATACAGTTAATTTTGTTTCTTATCTTGACTTAGGTCTTAACCATTCGGGTCGATTGAGAACCAAGTTTTACGACAAAAGAAATAAAACAGCTACCTTGTCAAAATATATTTGTATTTATTAATACATTTTTGGTATAATAATGAATAAAAAAAGACTATTTGTAAACTAACTGTTATTTGCTGACCTTGCTATTCCTGGTGAAAATGAAAATATATTTCTGAAGCCGAATCGGGATGTCAAAATGACTTTCCTTGACTGTCCCGTTTAGATATACATCGTTTGTGTATACTTTAGTCCATATTTTGTTTCTCTTTAGATCTAATGGAGCTTATTATGGCATGGGAGGAGGCGGTCTTGTATTTATTTTATTGGTTGTAGGCTGCTGTTGGTATTGTTGTAGGTCAAAACAATCATATGGGGGACAAACAGTGGCAACAGTTCAACAAGCCGTGCCTTACGCGCCTTATACTGTAGCACCTGGTAAGCAAAAAACACATTAAATTAATTGAGTCATGGCACTGGTTATAGATCTTTGTTTTTGTTAGAAAAAAGGACAAAGAGTAACTTGTCACTATGTCTTTGTGAAGTCATGCACCTCATTTTTATTACAAAAGGGGATGTGGTATGATTGCAAATTAGATAATTGTCCACCAGATATCAAAGGGCGAGGATTAAACAATTTAGATCATCGTAAGGCATTACAAATGGGCAAACACCAATATTGTATAGTAATCTTTAGTTATTTTTATTTCTTTACGGAACTTGGTGTTGATTGTTAATTTATTAAGGTGTTAAATTTGTAGACAACTTATCATGAATAGCTGCTATATGCAATTTCCATCTAAAAAAACGTACGTTGACTCCATGATATCTTGTTGGAGCTTGTTTTGTGTCTTATAATGTCTGTTGATTTCAATGTTTAACCTATGTCATCCTTTCATTCAGATACTATAAATATCTTATGGATCCTCACTACATCCGAATAAAATAATATTCATTGTAATTTACAAATTTACATTTTCACAAATTGTTGCATTTAATTTAAGGAGCGCATCCCTTTGGAATGACAAACAACTGTGTTCCAGGAGGATACAATGTGCCTATGTCCATGGCGCCAATTATCAAAAGTAAGAAGAGCTCATCATTATCATCATCGATAGGCAGCGGGTTTTCAAACATGTTGGAAATGGGAGGAAATTCGAGTGAAATTGGCGAAAGTTTGAATGAAATGGGTGAAAGCTTTAGTGAAATGGCTGAGGAAATCATGTAACTATAAGCTTCAGATTACATGATTATAAATTAAAGTATCCTAATTTATGTGTGCATAGTGTGCAGATATGCTGCCTTCTTATTTAAAAAAATAACATCCTTTTTTGTGGGGAACTTTGTATAAATGTAAAAGTAGTACAAAATGATATAGTTTGCTTTATATATCAGAATAATAAGATGTTTAACATTCTTATCCTTTTTGTGACGCTTTACATACAAGTCAGAACTCCCTTCAGAAATCTTTTTATAAGATACGTTTCTTACATTGAAATAAGTTCCATAAATAACAAATCAATGAATCAACATCATTCAGCTAAGTTTTGTTTTTCAAGAAGTGTAAGTGCAGGTTTATAATTAAATATATTTAAAAGAACTTTTACTTCCTCGACTTTCAAATATTCGGCTTTGAGCATTCCTGATGAAGGTAAATCCAGGAAAGCGCTTTGGACGCAAGAAATTAAAAACGTGTTGTTTTTATTTCTTTACTGCACTGGGTCGATACCTCTGCTGGTGGACTATTAGTCCCCGGGGGTATCATCAGCTCAGTAGTCTGTACTGACATGGTTAATAACAACCCTTTCTAAAATTGTCCGTTTATAAATTTTAGAATTATAAAGAAACTAAAGTTTCAACACAGGTTTCAACTCAGGCAAAGTTGCCCTCAGAAGGATTTGGCTATTTTTTAAGTACTTTTTGGTTAGAAAGCTCTTCAACTGTTTCTGTTCTTATACATCCTCGGCTTTCAAATATTTAGCTTTGAACGTTCCTTAATAAGGTTAATCCAGAAAATCACTTCGGACGCATCAAATTAATAACGTTTTTATTTTTAACAGCACTGGGTAGATACCTCTGTTGGTGGACTATCAGTACCCGAGGGTATCATCAGCTCAGTAGGCAGTACTTCGGGACTACGGTACTGACATGATCAATAACAAACCTTTCTAAAATTGTCCGTTTATAAATTTTAGAATTATAAAAAAAATAATGCAAAGTTGACCTTAGATGAATTTGCCTATTTTTTAAATACTTTTTGGTTATAAAGCTCTTCAAAAGTTTCGGTCCTTATAAATCATCGGCTTTCAAATATTCGGCTTTTAGCGGTCCTGATGAAGGTCAATCCAGAAAAGCGCTTCGGAGGCATGAAATTAATAACGTGTTGTTTTCATTTTTATGTTCATATGTACATTGTACATTCTATGTTTTATTCAGGTTTAACATAAATGAAAAATAGGTATATGTTTTTATATCCCTTTACATTAAACAATGTTGTATTTTTGTGTTAGTTATAGAACAATGTATCCAATTATAGCATGAATACAATTGTTTTGATTTTATGTATAACACTTTTTCAAAGAAAAAAACACTACAAAGAACCAATAATTTTCTTAATATTTGCGAAGAAGGTCTCATAGTGATTCCTGTTTATCTATAACTCATATTTTTGGATTATTTCATCGGTATTGTCTAGGTTATACTCTAAATACACTAAGATCTAGATAAAGATAGAAGACTGTTGATGTGTACATTTAATAAGATAATCCGAATTCTAATAATCATCAAAATACAACACTTTAAGTTTGAGATAATTGTTCACTCCAATCCGATTGATCTTAAAATTACATTGCATTGCATCAAAGATGTGTGTGAAGCTGGAGGCGAAATTCTGAGAAGACTCATGATGAAGATGCAAGAGACGAAATATTTAGAAATTAATGAACTCCACATACATTTTATACCTCAGTTTTATAGAACTAAATAAACAGAGTATTACTTATGCATTATTGTTAAGTAAACTTTTTTGTTTTTGTTTTTGTTTTTGGCTATTCATACACAGTTCACAAATTTGGGGTATAGTATTCAACTTAAATTCATCACTAAAGAATGTTCTAGTCGATTCAAAATTGACGCGTTGTACGTTTGATGAGTTGTTTAAGACATATTGCCTTTAACTAATGAGTTCTATTCTTTGACTGATTATTGGCCTCCGGCTTATTGAAATTATTTTGCCTTCACATTAATATACTTTTCATCATTTTTATGTTTGAATTGTGCACATCAGTCAACATCATATTTTTCTTTCAGTTTTTATCTGTAATGATATTGTTATTTAAAATCTTTTTTTATAAGTAAAGATGATGGTTTGACAATGTGGGGTGATATTGCCTAATATATTCTATAACAAAATTGAACATCTTTGGTATGGTTTATATCATTCATGGTAATAGTTTTGGTTAACCGTGTCGTTTTCCTCAGGCATATATGCTATTCAATCGGGGCAGTGTCTTCTTTAATGTATGTGTTTTAATACATGCAGCTGCTATGATAAATCGCTCAGTAACTAGTTTCTGAGAAGGAGCTACGTGATAACAAAACTAGGCATGTGCCTTCTGCAAGTCCAGAGTAAAATAAAAGTAAGAATATGGTCAGTTGTCATGAATTCTTTAGGATTTTCCTTTTCACGAATTTGGTGTTTGGCCTTCAGTGCTCTTTAACTTCATACTGTATTTCATATTTTTAAACCCCAAGGGTGACTGGGGAATAGAAGTATGGTCACCATTGGTCTTCCTCCGACCGGCAGTAAAACCCGTGCTAAAGTGGGGCGTCCGTTTGGCTGTGCGGGATGTACAAATTTGCAGCCACGTCCGGTCAGAATGGGGACGTTAAATCCGATGCCTCGTGTAAAGAGAGTGCCACGCTCTTTGCACGTTAAGAACCCTTGCAACAACTCTTAGAGGGGTCCGTAGGTGACCTGTTGCAAGGCTAAAGTTCTGTCCCTATCCAATATACCCTCATTTCCCGTGGCAGTCTAAATTTCTCCGACCTCAATCCCAGACGCCTATATTACAGAACCTACCTATTGTATTTATTGTTAATTTGTTCTCGTCCTGAATATGCATGAAATATTTGCCACTGGACGTTAAGCAACCAACAATCAATCAATCAATCATATTTTTAACGTCTTTTGTAGAAGAAACACGTTTCTGGCGTACAAAACTTTAAGCTTGGTATCTATGATGAGTACATGCACTCATAGTTTTTCAAGGCAAGGGTTATATGATTATAGTCTTATTTGATTATTGAATGCAGCTAATTATATCGTCAAGATAAATTTTCATTGGATTCGTGTTATTCCATTAGCATTTATTCAACATCTTTTTTGTTTAAGATATTCTTACATTTTCGAGTTTTTATAATGTACGTAATGTAATTGTAGTCCGAGATAGTTAAAGGTCACACCATCTTTTTTTCCTTTATATATAACATACTAATTGTGTTTTATACGGTAAATATACAATTTGAGGCCCTGTAAGCTCAAACAGTATTGAAAATCATGTGTTAAATCGTTTCTAAATATCACGTGATTACATGCCATATATGCAATCTAATTCAATTTCAATCGATAATAAAAATACACGAAAGTGTCCCAGTTGCGTTTTACAAAGATTTTTTGAAATGATAGGATTTATGTTAATTTTTCAGTCTCTTCATGGTATGTATTAATAAATAAGAATGTTAAGAATGACAAGGTATGTCATCAGAGGTAAAAGTATTTCTGGCTTCTTATCAATTTCAGTATATATATTTTAATATAATGTATTGGACCTGGCTAAAAAAAGGCAACAATAATATATCGCTGTTCAATAGTCATAAATAGGGGCCTCGGTGGCCGAGTGGTCTAAGTAGTTACTACTGTAATCACTAGCCAGTCAACACTGAGGTTGTGAGTTCGAACCCCGCTCGTGCGGGTGCACGCGACTCCAATCCTAATTGACTAGGATTGTTAGTTTTCCTATCGAAGGTCGGTGGTTTTCTCCGGGCACTCCGGCTTTCTCCACCAATAAAAACTGGCCGCCACGAAATAGCCCAAAAGCTGTGCTTAAAAGTGGCGTTAAAACACCAAAAATCAAAATCAAATAAAATAGTCATCAATCGATTAAGCAAAAACAAATCCGGGTCACAAACCAAAACCGAGGGAAATACATAAACTATAAGAGGAAAACAACGGAATAACAGAAACACTGACCTGCTACAAAAACAAACGCCAACATAAATAGAAATGGACTATTTGATAACAACTCCGATATTCCTGACTTGGTACAGGACATTTTAAGAAAATATGATGGGTTGAACCTGGTTTTATGGCAAGCCAAACCTCCCGCTTATATGGCAATGTTAAAAACACCGCTAAATGACAACATTACGTGACAGGAATACAGTACAGATAAACGAAAAAACACTCAGGACAGAGAAATACATTAATGAATAATATAATAGCACATTACAACATGTAAACCACAGAATAACAACTGACACCTTTCAACCACAGTACACCACAATAAAATTATGAACTGTGCGTCACACGAAAGCACTAGTTCGCAATAGAAATAATAAGATAAGATTAGGAATTTCGCAGGCAATTTGTATAATTGGTGAATTCAAAAACTAAAAAAATAAAAAGTCTTTGAATTAACTGTATCTATTTATCTTTTGGCGAATATATAGATGAACATTAATTTAATGTGTCTTCTTCTGGTATGCGGTAGACGTGTTCCAACGTTTGATGTGCATCATTCGACGTTACTTAATTTTAAAACTTGAGTCAGATCCGTTTGTCATTTAGAATAATACGAAATGATTAAACTATTATTCGAATTATTTTCTTTGTCATTCATGAGAAATACATGTAATTCCTTGAAGCAATTGATCCCAGTTTTGCATCGCAAAAAACCGTCCCTTCAATTCAACGTACCAGATTTGAACAGTGTCAATCAAAGTGACGGCCCATATGTTTTGATCGGTCAACTTTGCAGTAATTACATGTATAATAATTTATTTTTCTGTTCTCGTTAAGGATATGTATTAAATATTAGCTAGCGGTAAATTAAACCAAACAACAGTCAATCATGCAATTGAGGCCTAGTTTTTCTTTATAACCCCAGTTTTTAAATTAGCGAAATTCGTGTTCATTTCCTCATCAAAATCCATGTTTTATTCTCATTTTTTTCTGACAAATATTTTAATAATTTTATAAATTTTGATGTCTGCCATATGTTTGTTTTTACGATTTAAACGTTCATTGTCGTGCAGCAATGACACCCTTTATATACCCTGGTTTAGCTAGCTATAAAACCAGGGTTATTCTACCATTTGCATCGGAAAATATCAAAAAAGGAATAAGGTAGTTGTTTTTCACTTTTTCCGTTGATTGATAAATTATGAAATTTATGTGTCATTTTGGTGTATTACCAGATTACTGCTGAGAAATGGGAAATTGATAATTGGGAAGTTCATGGTAATTCAAAATCATTTAAACGTTATTCAAACCAAGGATATGTATAGTTTCTCTATACAAACTTTTGTTGGACTGAATTGCTGTAATTGAGATTAAGATATCATGAAAATCGGATAGAAAGTACGTTTAAAAATTTATGGATTTTTATAACATTGATAAAATAAAAACTAATTTTAATAAGAATATATAATAGTAAAACAAAGGATATTCGGTATCCATTCATGACACAACTCAGTACATACTCAGCACAAAAACACACAAAATGCAATATTTATCTATAATTATCGCAAATAGTTCACTTGGAAAAGTAAATGTTTATCAAGTGCACGTACAGGCTAATACTGACCAAACTGACACAAAATAAACACGCGTTTACTGTAGCAGACATTAGAAATTTCCATTTTGACCACGTTAACGTAACGCAGCAATTAGAGTAAACATACGAAATATGTGCTCATGACATTAACGTGCGTTTACTTTAGGTTTTATTTGGTCTGCACACTACTGGAGCAACCGAACAGGCACACGTTACACGTTTGCTTAAGCGGTAAGTATATCAGTAGCGAAAATAATTAATGATGCCAATCAGATTGCCTAGAATTCAAAAATATGGTATCTGAAGAAAACAAGGACAAACAAAGGAATTTCACACACAGGAGCTAATGATGTACTAAATAAAGAAAAGCATATAAGATTATTTTCACTCAATTTGCACTAAGAATGGTATGTGTAATTAAATTACATACTCGATTACATTTCTTCTTCCATTTTATCACGTTCATCAAACAGATAATTCTTTATATGCAAATCCTTAACTATTCACGATAATGTCATGGTAAAGATGTTCAATAAATTAAAAAAGGGAAATTGACTTTTTTTATACTGCACCCAGCGAGTTATGAGGAAGATCTCATCTGATTAGCGACATGCTTTCTCGGTCTTAGATCTTTTATCACCAGTATTTTCGTTTCGACGCACCAGGTTTCAAACGCTTTTGAGGTCATGCAATTTCTTCAGTTTTTGTTGTTGCCTTGCTTTGTTTCTTTTAAATCGATTTATGAGATTTTTACATCGGTAAACTTCTATCGGCTTTATTGACTTTGATAACACAAGTAGTAATTCAAACAAATATTTTGATTGCGGTAATTTGAAATGAGCAGACAGTTCTGATAATTAGCTGTTCGTTCAATATTTTCTGTCTGAATAAGGTAAACATATAGTTATCCATATGGAATATTAATTCACATTGTACATGTATATTCATGAATGCCATGGTAACAAAAAAGGAAAGATCTTTTATTTGTTTCATTATTGTTTAAGAGAGTTGTTACATTCAATTTAAATGTCTGCCATGTTTATTTTTCGTTTATTGTTTTGAGTATGAATCAGGATGTTGGTTTTCTCTTTCGAATTGTTTCATGTCCGGTCCTTTTACACCTTACTATATGGTATGTGTTAAGTTCGTTTTTGAAGGCAGTTCAATGACCTATGATTGTTTATATCCGTTTATGTTAAAGAAGTCCAAAATGTTTCACCATTAAAAAGCATACAGAATTGGCAAGCATGAAATTGTCTATTGAATAACAAATATGTTTTTGTCGTTGTCTGGGAACAAGGATGACTGAATTCCATTTGTACAGTCACCTTTCAGTGTACATACATTTGTTTTTTTGTCATACTCTGCTGCAGTACAGGCTGTTTTAATGATGCACTTTGTTGTACACTGAATGTTACTTTGTGCGACAGAGGTCTCTATGACAGGACCTAAATATCTGTACCCGATATGTCCACATGCATATGCGATATTAGAACTACTTTCCGAACCTAAAAAAGTAACAATAAATAATAACTTATCCTTTAAAGAAAGAAATATAACTATTATGAGTGTCAAGGAATAATACTGTTGTCTTTTAGAGCCTTTGTTTTGCCTTTCTTTTATTAGATGAAATAGCAGTTTTCTGTCACGTTTTTTTGTTAGATTAAGGTTATAATGTGAATTTGAGACAACATATATATTTGTTATAAAACAACCGGAGATGATAATTATTCGTTGATCAAATATGTGACACTTCATCAAATTTTGAATTTGAAAAAATGAAGAAGAGACATCAGCTGGCAAATATCTTGACTTGAGACAAAAGCCTGTTGCATAGTAAAGCATTTAATGCAGTCAACTTTACTTCTTAATCTTTGCACAAGGTTATTGGGCAGACATATTTCAGTTGCAATTAGGTAATGCATTGTATTTCTAACTTCAACTCATTTCGTTTTCACCTCTGATCAATGAAATAATAAATATTTAAGTTGACAAAGTTAAGACATGTTGAGATACCTACGACGTGCTATTTTTATAGTCCATATTGCAAATAGTTTTGTCGTCAGGAGGGATCCACCAGATTATATGTTCAGAACCCGATGAAATAGGACTTGTTATTGTTCCCTGAATGGAAGGTTAACAACTTTGTAAAATTAAACCAAAAACCTTTGATTTATCTTCACTTTAAACAAGTATTTCTCATTCAACTTAAATACAGATTGAAATGATTAGTTTAGCTACATTCATTTAGGTAAATTGTCAGCGTAAATGCAGATATCATGTTCAAATGTAGACGGAAACTTAATAATAAGCCTGGTATCTTTGGTGAGCTTTTTGATTTACAATCGAGTAAAGATGAGGAAATTGTGTATACAACGATAGGAAATTATCCGTGGTCATCTGTGATACAGTTATCTCATAACGGTAAACCAACAACTATCAAATGGATAAACTCAATGTTACCACTGGAATACTTGATTCAATATCTTCCTAGTGATTAGCAAACCCCTAACAAGACAATTAGTCGATAAAACGTTAGATCTGAAATATCGTAAAATAATGAGATCAATATTTTGCAGCCGCTGCTTGAATGTTTGCGTATTTTATACGTAATTGTGAATACTCACGGCGATATTTGCTCATTTACACGTTAGAGTGTTCATAATGATTTATTGAGTATTGTTTGCTTAACGTTCAATGGCATATATTTCATGCATATTCAGTCCGAAAACATAATGGGGATAGGGATGTTTTGACTGCCACTGTAGATTGACGGTATATTTGATAACAACAGAAACTGATCCTTGCAATACATCACTTACGGACTTCTTTTATATATCCAGCATAGGAAAACGAGCATCCTAATTTTGGAAGGCTGTTACTGTCGATCGGAAAAACCCTTAGAATAGTATTATGCTTGAGTACCCTGATTTAAAATTATCTACTTTATTGACCGCCGTATTTGTCACAGCTCATATCCCCAGTCAAATTTCATGATTGTATATTTTATTCCAGAAATG